AGAAGCGGACGAGTAGGAGGTCCGAGTAGAGGCCGGCCAAGAGGTAGAAGAGGCTGGAAAATTGGCCCCACAATCCGCTTGGAGTACCAATCACCACCTGGCAGATAAGTCAGCCTGTCTGAGCGAACTCGCGATGAGAGACTGCCGCGCAAAATGCTCGAGCGAGGGAGAGCTGGGCAGGCGGGTGGTACCATCCGTGGCGATGAAGCGAGACGATTCCTGAGCTTGTAGCAGGAGCTTGACTGAAGGGAGAGAGGAGGAGGAGCAGAATGAGGAGCTACAACTTGAGACGCTTCAAACAAGGCCTGGACGGAGCCGCCCCCGGCGAGTACTGTGCTGCATGAATGCTTGCCCAGGTGTGAACAACACCTCGTGACCACGGCGCCGCAGGCGCCTGTTGATGGGTCCAGGTGATAGCCCTGGATGGGCAATGCATACGCCTAGTTGGACCTCAGATCGCCCGACCGCGTCCCGGTGCTTTGTGGTCGGATTTGTGACGCCGCCGCACCGCGCCGCGGCCGGGGGCCCTCCGGAGGCCAAGGATGGCCGTGGCGGACCGGGACGAGCTCTGGGAGGTGGAGTGTCAGTGAGTATATTGTAGAGACTGACCATGTGCACAATATCTCTCACTCTAGCTAAGCCAGGGGAGGCGATACCGCGGCCGTACAGCAGCTTGATGGTGCTTCGCCGGCGTGCGTCCCGGAGCGGTGCCGGACGGGGGCCCAGGGGAGGAAAATGGAGGACAACGCCGACGCCGCTCTGATTCGACTTTTTACTTCAAACAAAGACAGTCGCACGCGCCGCAGCGCGGCGCGTGCGACTGTCAGGAGCGGATCCGTCAGTTAGTCGTGTTCACGCCGGGATCGTGTCCTCCACAACCTGGGCAACCATTCAGGGCGACGAGTAGAGGCACACGCACGCACTCTCGAGGTCTCTTGGAGCGGAGCCGCCCGCGTTGGAAAGAAGAAGAAGAATTCTTAAACTAAGCCTCTCTCACAGCACACTGGCACGACAAGGGCGCGGACTGGCGCGGACTGGCACACACACCGGCTCACCACCGGAGCCGAGAAGAAGAAGAAAGAAATCGGCGCTACATGTGAGGTTACCGACTGCACTCCAAGTGCTCCAAGTGCTCCAACGCTAGTGGCCTCTACCGCCAATCTCGGCGTGGACGAGGAGAAGCTAACCATGTGGCGTACGAAGGGCGGCGGCGACCTGGAGCCGGTCCTCGCGAGCGGCGCCGTCGCCCTCCTCGACGCGCAGTGGATCATCAGCCGCGCCGAGGTGGGTGGTGTCCTCGCCCACCGCCAGGCGCTGCCCAAAGAGGCATTCTTCTCCCTCGCCGACCTCGTCGAGGCGACCAGGTATGACCTCGCCGTCGCCGCGCTCTCCTACCCGTGGCTGACCAAGGACCACCCCGACCCGCGCGGAGCCAATCTCTCCCGCGTCGCAAGGGCGCTCAAGGCCCTGCTCAGCGCTCGCTGCATCACACGGCTCGGCGTCTTTTGGGACTTTGGTTCGCTGCACCAGCACCCCGACCCCGCCAACAGCGCCATGCGCACCCAGGAGCAGAACGTGCTCTTCAAGCAGGGGTTGGGCTGCCTCGGCACGCTCTACTCCCAGCACACAATCGTGCTGCGGCTGACGTCCTTTCCGGAGGGCCACACAAGGCGGAGGACCAGGCCGAGGGCACCAACGTGGCCAAGTACTTTGACCGAGGCTGGTGCTTCACCGAGAACGCCTGGGCGAGCCTGACCAAGGCTAGGTACCTCTCGCTCGACCTCGGCCTGATGAACAACGGCGAGGAGTACGGTTGCAGGAGCCTCATCCTCGAGTGCACCAAGAGCGGCGGCCGGCGCCCTCCGCTGCTGCCGTCTGCGTTCGCGGCGGAGCTGGAGACGAAGAGCTTCACCAACGGCAAGGTCGACAAGCCGCTCGTGAAGCGGCTCTACGAGGCCGCCTTCAAAGAGCAGTTTTGGCAAGGCGACCGAGCTGAACTACGACGGCCTCGGCTGGGGCGACGCGGAGGCGGCGCACCTGGCGGAGGTCCTCGCGAGCGGGGCAGCGCCGCGGCTTGAGACGCTCAAGCTCTGCCACAACCAGATTGGCGACGAGGGCTGCACGGCGCTGGCCGCCGCCCTCAAGGAAGGTCGCCCACTCAAGGCATGAGATGCCGCCCCTCGCCACACGTCCCTCTCCCCCGCCCAACATGCTCATCGCACCTCCTCTCGCGTGCAGTTGCTCGCCGTGGACAACAAGGAGCAGCCCGAGCTGGTGGCCGTGTGCGAGGAGCGTGGCATCGAGCTGCGCTGAGCGCGACATCGAGAGCCGGGCGAAGAGATAGGCAAAGGTGACATCTGAGGCGATCACCCAGGGCGATCGCGAGAGACCTTGAGAAGTGGCGGAGGCCGCTGAGGCCGGGAGGGCCGGTCCCTGAGTGGTGGTGGCGGGCCGTCCTCCCATCCCTCTCTTGGGTCGTCTGTTTGCTCTCTTTTGGGGGGGCCAAGGGCCCGGCCTGCTCCTGGCTGAGTGGTCGACTCGTGTGAGAGAGCCAAGCGAGCGAGCGTACGCGTTCGATAACAAAAACAAAATAACGCAGGTCAGCGAGAACTCACGGGACCTGTTCCTTTTTACCCATCTCACAGTAGAGGTGTCCGTTTTTTCATTCATCAACTCAGTACTCACCCTCCGACCGAGGCGGTGTCGATAGCGGCCGGGCGCGAGGCTACGTCCGACGAGGGTCGACTTGTCCTGTCTCCTGAGTCTCAAGAACTTGCAGCGTCCCACGTCTCGCGACATGTCAGCAGACAGCACCTTGTCTCCATGTCTCACGTCTCAGCAGTCTGTGCGGGCTGCGCGCCGGCGGTGTATCGCGTACAGTCGCGCTCCCAATACGTGCATCGACTTTTGTGACGGTATGTTACAACTTTGATCAACCATAACTGCCATGTCGACGCTCATGAAAATCGATCGGGCGCCGTAAACACCGTCACAAAAGTGAGATGCACGTATTGGGAGCGCGACTGCGGATCGGTTATATCGCACAGAATAAAGATCAACATGTGTTTACTCCGGCTCGAGACACATATCATAAACATAATATGTGCATTTCCATTATGGCATACACACGATTCAACGCGAGATGAGCGAGCGAGATGACCCCTGCCTCATCGCGATCGGGCAGACCACAGACCGCTGCGTGGGCTCTCGAGTCGAGGAGTCTATCTACACACGAGCGACCGCGGGGTCGAAGCTCACCCACTCGCCCACCCCGTTGCCGCCGCCCTCCGCCTCCCCGTTACCGCCGCCGCTCGCCGCCGCCGCGGCCTCCTTGACGCGGCTCCCCAAGTCCTCGAGCTCGATGCCCGCCGCGCGTGCGCCCGCAGGCAGCATCGGCACCTACTCAAACAGGTTGGTGTCGGGGGCGTGAGTGGCAATGCACGTGCGGTGCCCCGCAGCC